CTCCAGGAAACTCATTCTTCTCTTTCCCAGGATGGCTGCCACTTAGAGAGAAATCCTTATAAAAATGAGGCCAGAGCCCAGCATGGCGCATCTGGGTTCTGCTTCTGGTGAGGCCATGGACTCACTTGGGCAAAACATTTCTCTGCTCGCTGTCATCTGTAAATGGGGCTAGTGGTGTTCATCCACCATTGCAAAGGTCTGAGAGATCTACGGCTGAAAAAATGCTGCTCTCTGTGTGCAAAGTGTTACTATCGTTGTCATCACGAGGCATCCCCTCCCAAGCATTATGAATCTCCTCCATTCCAAACGTAACAGGCTGACATCCAGAGAGGAGCCAAGAACATTCTGCCTGTGGAAAGAATCTGTGAAAAAGAAAAGAAAAAACCACAACAGCCTCTGCTGATTCTGGGAGATATAAATCAACCCCAAAGACAATATTTCTGTTTCAAGGAGGAGTTAACTTTCCACTGAATGCAGTGAACTGACAAGCGCTGGAGCTGCAGCTGTTTACCGCACAGCGTAGGCTTCATGGTCTGCACAGCTGAAAGTCTCCGTGGGGCTCCATTCACTTTGATTTTACACCAGGGGTTAATTAGACCCCAGTAATTATCCCCTTTTAACAAGGCCATGTTTACACCTATGAGAAAGGGTCAGCGGCATTCTCCTTGCTTGCCCTTTGTGGCTGGGGAGAAAATAATATTGATGGCAGCTAGGGAGATGAAGTGGTCATAGGAAAAAAGGATACTAGAAAAAACAAGAAAGAAAGAAAGAAAAGGGAGATTGGGTCTAAAGGCCTCCAGAAGAATATATTAGATGGGCTTTCACCCCATCCATGCCTGATTGAATCCTGTCTCACTAATATGGAAACTAGCATTTATTATCCCCCCGCCATCCTTCCTCCTCCCATATTTCAACCTAGGAAATACCAATGACCCTGTGAGCACTAGCAAAGATAGCCTGAAGACAGGATGGTTATTTGAGTCCCCAGCTCCCAGGCTTTGGGACCAGCTAATTAGTGGGGGGGGGGGGGGGAGGGAGAGAAAGAAAATTCCAAATGACAAATAATCTGGGAGGCCCTTCAGTAAGAGGATGAAGTTTTATAACCATCACGAATATTGGAGCTGCCCATAAAACTGTAGCCAAAGGGGGAAAGCAGCACTTGATTTATGCAGTGGTGGTGAAGAACATTATCCAAACAGTAATTTATTGATTGCTGCACCACTGAAGAGTCAAGGCTGCTCTCTTGGGCATAGGAAACAGACATATTTTTCTTGTATATGGCGCTGAACACAGCAGTCCTTCCTCACTTCAAGAGCGATATGAATCTGCGCTCTGTCTTTCCATGAACTGCTGCTCCTTGTAGCCCATGGCGGGCAGGGGAGGGAAGTAGGGGCGGGAAGAAGGGGGATGCTGGGGGCCAGCCAGAACAGGACTTCGGCAACACCCTTTGATTTCTAGAGAGAGATCTCTTAGGTGCTGAATGTGCCCAGGCTGTGTGCTGCAGGGGCACATTTCTCTGCTATTCTCTGCCCATCTCTTCTGAAGATTCTGTGAGAGCTGACAAGAGCCAATGGACAACTGTTTTCAATTCATTCCTTCCTAAACTAGGGTTCACAGGCTGGATGCTTAGGAGCAGGGTTGGACCCAAACTAAATCCCAGATCTGGCCACTCCAAACCTTCAGGGTGGTTAAAATTCTGACCTACAATTTTGGCTTGAGTCTATCGCTGCTTAAGGTCTAACTCTTCTGAACACTTCATCAATGTCATGCAAAGCTCCCTGTCTCCGTAATGGGAATGTCTGAGTGTCCTCTCAAGGGTGGTTCTCTAAGCCACTCTACATGGTAAGACGAGGTAGGCTACTGTGTCAGCTCCCCACCAAACAGGTGAACATATTCTGCCCACCATATACACCTGGGGGAAACAATTCTGCATTAGCAGGGGATGGACTGGCCTAATGGTCTTGTGCATGTCAAATGTCTCTTGCTAGGACTGACAGCCTGAGGGCTCATTCAGCTTCACAAAGAGACGGGCGTTACTGGCTGTCAGCAAACTGGGTTTATTTTTCCTCTCTCATTTCCTCGGAGGGAAGCGCACGGTGACTGATTAACAGGGGTGCAGTCAACCAGTGACAAAGCCAATCACTGCATGAATTTACTTACTCGGTCATTAGCTAAGGAAAGAGAAAACTGAAATGCTGTTGAGGAACGTAATTCCAGGGAGGTCTTATTATAGGCAGCAACCAAACTCACAGGGCTATATTCAGAGAGAAGCCTAGAGGACATAGCCTGTTGGAGTAACTTACATTTTCCCCCAGTCCCCTCGGCAACTGAGACTCCCTTAGACTCATAGGGCCAAATGTAGAGGTGATGTGTAACACAGTGTAAGGGGATCTAACTCTGATTCCTATTCACCGAGACTCTCCTGGCCAAATTCATCAGTGCTCTAATACCACTGAAGTCACCATGTGGATGTATTTGGTTCCCTCAGAACAACTGATACCCCCTCTGCCAATGTCTAAGGGAGTCAACAGTAGGGTTACCATATTTCAACAAGCAAAAAAGAGGACGGGAGGAGCCCC